AAAGAAAAAAAAAAGAGTACAACAATGGAAAACCAGCGGGTTGGCTCAAATGTGCACACAAAACATTCCCTCACACCTAAAAAAAAAAAAAAAAAAAAAAAAAGGAAAACACCGCACGCGTCCTGCCCTGCAGCGCACAAGATCACTGGAGATAATAACAAATAAGTCATGAAAACAACAAAATGCACACATCCGTCCATTCAACGCAAATAAACGGATGATTGCAACGGAACCATCACACATTTGTCTACTCCCCACCACTCCCTCCGCCTGGCCGCTCATCGCCTCCTCCCGCCCCCCAAATAAAAAAAAAAAAAAGAGGGACACACACGCACACACATGCATATATATATATAGCGGGGTGTTAAAATAAAAAAAAATTCGAACGTCATTGGAGCCAACACTCCGTTAAGTAAATGAAAAATAACAATAAAAGAGAGAAAAGTAAAAAAAAAAAAAAAAGTGGGCGTGGCTGTCGTTTTCTTCCGTTTTTGAAATAAAATAAAATGGTCTTTTTTTTTTTTTAATTTCATTCCTTCTTTTCACGTAAAACATCAAAATAAAAAATAAAAGTTTTTTTTTTTTTTGTTTCTCCCCGCACAATTCCCCACTTGCAATTCGCATACATACACACATGCACATTCCCTCCTCTCCAACCCGCTGAGCAGAGAAGTGGCCATAACGAAAGCCACGCTGCAAACACACATGCACAATGGCAACAAAACAAACGAAAATCAAAATCAAAACAAAAAACAAAAGGGAGGGCTGTTGTCTCGATCACTTTTTGCCATTTTCTGAGTGATCGATGCAAATGTCCGCTGCTTGCTGCCTCGCCTCTTCTTTGATGCGGCGTCGCTCCGCCAGCGTCCTGCGACTGAAACGCAGGTACGAAATATGCACGTACACACTGGAGATGAAGGATGTGCAGTTGATGCCCAACATCAGCAACAGCGGCATGAGGACGCAGCGGCGTTGCAGGCACAAAAGGGTGCCAACCTTCTCCGCCTCACGGGTATACCACTCGCCGTACGCAAACCGGTTCAACAGAATCGTCGAGAATACCGTTGACAAAAAACAGAAATTGTAGTGCTTGGCAACGTCCTTGGCGTATATGGTGCGGATCATCAGGACGATTACGCCAGCACGGAGCCCGTTGGCCAGCGAACCTAAGACATACGGCAATGGAAGGGCCACTTTTGGCACCGTGAGGATGAGCACCAGCACGACGACCATGATAAATGATGGAACAAAAAGGGCAGCCGTCATGGGAATACGTTCCTCCGGCTTCTTCTTTTGTGACCAGACCTCAAACGCACTCATGAGCAGGCGGCCAACAGCACTGCCAACGCCGTCCAGCACGGTCAGAAGAATTCTCAATGATGGCGACACCGGCTCACCGGAGAGTGCGGCAAAAATGTAACTCGCGTTTAGCATCAGAACAGTTTCCGCACCCACTGTGGCAAACAACGTCCACAATACACCCCACAGCCTTGGCGTGCAGAGACTTTGCAGGAACGTCGTCTGGTACTGCGGTGCAATGTAATCCACATCGGTCTCCACACCCACCCGGGCGTCTTCACTTGTACTACCATTCTCCATCAATGTCTCAAAGGGTTCGGCTCGTTCATTCGGGTTGTTGGCGTTCGACTTCGCCATTTCCTTATCATGTTGGCGACGTCGTCGTCGCCAATTCGACCACCACTCCCGGTCAAGGATCCTCAGTGGAAGCGGCATGATAATGGGGGGCACACAGACCAGCACAATGGTGGTGAGTGCAAACGCCAGCCTGTAGCGCTGCCCAAGTTTAAGGTAGGAAACAAGAGCCCCTTCCAACGGCAAATAGACAATGAGTATAATCTCAAAGAAGATTGCGATCGCAAAACGGGGAATGGGAGTTTTCTGGCGCAGGTACTGTCCCCGGGTGGCAAGACGCTTCTTCTTCTCCTCTTCGCTTAAGTGCGACCGCTGGTAGCCGGTCAGGTGGTAGTGAGGCAAACGAATGACGAACATGCATCCAACAGCAATCACCACCACCAGTACCATCAGAAAGTAGAAGAAGCGGTCTGGATGCCCGTTAAAGAAGGCAAGCTGAATTGTTCCAACAATTGGAGAGCCCAGTCCATTGAATGTCTTCGCTACCGCCACAATGGCTCCCCGACTGGATGGAAATATGCTGAGCATCGTCATTTGAATGGCAATATCAAACATGATGGTGCCAATGTTTAGGATGGCATTAAAAACACTGATACGCACCACCGTGCCGTAGATATATCCATTAAACGACAACGCCATCAGGAGAGAACCGAGCGGAAAGAACACCGCCGCAATGCAAAAAAGAGGCACGGGGCCAAAGTGGTCATAAATAAATCCGTATGGCAGCGTAAAATAGCAGAACACGATACCCGCCGTGCCGACAGTTGACAGATCTCGCTGTGTTAGATGGTACTTCTTCTCAAGTTCACCGCTGAAGAGGTTAAAGAAGTGCGCAAAGGAGGCTGCGATGGAGCCAAACACGGCCACCGAAACGATGCTGAACCGCTTCGCCTCGCTCAGTGGCTCACGATTGTCATGGAGGGCCTCAACCACCACCAAATCGGCAACATTTTTGTTACGGGCGTGCGCGTCATGTGCGTCGTTTTCAGGCTCTGTATTTGTGCCTTCCAGTTTACTCATTGAGGATTACAGGAACGTGTGATGCCAAAACGGACTAGAGGAGCAAGGCAATAACACAAACAGAGGGAGCAAAGGAGAAAGAAATTGGTGTAAAGCTCTTCAGGAATAAAAAAAAGAAAGAAACACGGAAAAGAAAATAAGCACATGCATGTATGCATAAATACATGCACACGGGCAGAAGGATATCTTGATATATGGAGAGGCCGCGTGACGCTTTCAAAGCCGTGCCACTAAAGCAGAATCCCGTCCTCGGCAGACCAACCGCTTGGCAGGTGCCTTGGTCGCATCCCCTGCAGAAAGGCGGTACGCCACCGGTAGATAAACTCTCCAATGGCGTGGTCCCGGCATTTGCAGGCGTCCGTATCGTACTTCTCAAGTAGTGCCTGAACAATAAGAAAGCCGTGACTGTCCACAAAAAGGTTTTCTTCCAATCTCTCCCCATTTTCATGCGGTCCTGGCGATCCCCCATCTTCGTGCCTTTCGCTGCGACGTGTCGTACAGCTGAACATCTCGCGTAGTTTTGGGTGCTCACGCAGCCAGAAGCGCGTCAACACGACGCGGGGCGATATGCCCTCCTCGAGGATGCATCGGACTGACTCTTTCGACGCTGCGTCAGCAGTGAAGAGCGCAATCCGCTCCGATGCACACTTCGCAAAAGGGTACCGTTGGGCGTGCAGACGCATGTACGTCGCTAACTGTCTTGCACGTCCTGGCGGCATCACTGACGGCTTCGCCGGCTTTTCGTTGACCGCAGCTGTCTGATTTACCCCCTCGTCCTCCTCAATACAACCCGCTGCAACAGTTGGTTCCTCGTAGGCAACACGCAATGCCTTGGCATATTTAAAAATCTTGAGAAGCACTTCCCGGTGCTTCTCGATTTCAAGGTATTCCTGCATGATGCGCATCTTCTGGGCAGGTGAGAGTAGGTACTTCCTGTCACTGGTTGCCGTGTTGTTGTTGCTTCTTCTGCTGCTGCTGTTGCTACGACTTCTAGCAATATTCTCAACAGCACTGCCATCGTTGCTAATATTAGTGGACATTTGTTGCTGCAGCTGTGCGCGGTGCAATTCCAATTCCTTTGGTGTGAGGTGACCCAGAGGTACACCAAAATCCACCGCAACGCGCCGCCGCTCCTCGTCGTACAGTCGTCGGGCCCTAGCAAAGCACACGGTACACAAAAGCAAGAGATCGTAGCTATTGTGACTCATGTACACACTGGGAAAATATTTCCTGTAGGCCAAAGGCACAACAGCAAAACGCACCAGATCCTTTTTCTCTCCACACACGACGCACTGATTCTCCTTCGCCTGGCGGAAGTAATCCAAGTTGCGCCGAATGTGGGCGTCGTTGTACTTGGAAAGATCGGGACTAAAATTGAGTTGAATGGCGGCAATCTCTTTCTCCGTTTTTTGTGTCTCCTCAGCAGCAGTCTCCCTCCATTCTATTACTTTTCCAAGACCCTTCTTGTAAACGTACCATTCCGCCTTGGATTTGTCCACCGTGAAGACGAGACGCATCTCGGCGTCGTACACAAAGATGTTATCGTAGTACGGCTTGGTCCGGCCTTTGCACCACCACGCGGCAAGGCGGTTCCCCGCAGGCTTCTCCACCCGTGCATTCCGAAAAGTTGTTGCCTTCAGTCCGTCCAAGCTCTGCAGAATGGAATTCACGTTACACCTCACATCCCGCGCCCCACTGATGCCGTGCGACTCGTCGTTGTCGTCGATGTTGTCGCTCGCGATGAGGTGTGACTCCCTACACATGCCAAGACATACGTCAAAAGATGCTTCTGCATCCGCTGCGGCGTATTCCAACTGTAGCGGAGAAAGTGCCCCGAGACTGCTGCCCCAATCACTGCATGTCACAAGAATATCCTTCTTGAGTTTCCTGCCAGCAAAGCGAGCGGCAAAATCCTTCAGGCTGCGCAGCCCCATCAAATCCTCAGCAGTGGGAAAAAGGTGTCGGGCCAGCACGGCAAGTTCAACACAGGGGCAGAGTCGGAATGCGGTGTAGTCACGCTGCAACTTCTCCTGATCGCCAATTATACCCACTCCCACCTTTGCAACACGCTTATTTGCCAGGAGGGAGGTCAAGTTGTCCAGGACAACGCCCAGTGTCGAGGAAACGGCGGCAGCCTCAGAGACGCCAATGCAATTCTCCGGACGTGCCATGCAAACAATGTCGCACAGCCTGACTACAAAAGTGACAGAAAAGGTGCTAAGCTGCACCACTGCCACGGGCTCCACTGAGTGTGCACTTCTCACTCGCACCCTGTCCCTGGCATCAGCAGCAGTGCCCGCGTTGCTGTTCTCCACCGTCGTCTCTTCTCCTTCCTCCAATACAGGTTTGGGTCTCGACGTCCACTCCATATCAAATCCAATAAAGCCACATTCCATTGCTTCTTCCTCCAGCTGCTTCCATGCTGCGTTATAGTTTTCCTCGTCGACCCGTACCCAGGCAGGATCCACCACAACGAGTTGTCGCGGCGGTGCAGGACACACCATTTTCTCTCTTCTCGCTTGAACCACCAAGGAGAAACCAACCAAAAGAGAAGGCTGCAGTGGCAAAAACAACAACAAAAAGAAAAAGTTGGGAGAGATCCGTTGGAATCTCGTCCATAAAGTCGCTGGATACAAGAAACATACACGCATGCAAATTTTACCTCCATCCCTTAAATGAATTCCCTGTACACGATTGAAAGACGCACAGAAACGCATGCACGCACGGAAACAATTATTACTCACATCAAAAAATGGCATAATTCCCTATTCAAACAAAAAAAATAAGACGAGCGTTCTATTGAAACGATTGAGAAGAGAATAATCCGTATTATTTTTAAAAATCCACAGGCCACACCATTCATTTCGCATTCCCCTTCTGTTTCCCCCCACATACACACACACACAAAAAAAAAAAAAAAAAAGAACGGTAAAAAAAAGCGCTTGCTCCTGTAATATTTGCTTCGTGTCCTAAAAATTAAGCTCCTGCTCCTATAGCAGACTCAAGCCACAGATGGGCCGCTTTATATCGCATTTCTCCTGAGCCAAATGAAGGGTGTAGCACTTCTTCTAACAGAGATCGCATCAAAAAGTAAAATATAATAATAATAATAATAATAATAACAATAAAACATAAAAATTAAATTGATAATGATTGCACCATAAAATTACAAAAATGGGGAGAGAACAAAATGAATCTCGCGCAGCTACATGTCTCGCAATTCATCTACTTCCAATAGACATGGCGACGCCACCTCTGCAGAACTTGTTGCAGCAACTACTTCCCGCCACCGGAGTTCGTCGCTGCTGACAAAGCGCGGCAATATAGGACGGTTCACCACCTTCGACGCCATGGTCAGGGCCCGCAACGTCTGGCGGCTCTCGCTAACGCTTTCCACTGCAGAAGAAAGGGTACCAAAAATGGTAGTCAGTGCATTCCCACCAAGGACATCAGAGAGTAGAGCAGTCTCCAGGGATTTGTTGTACTGCACTACACCTTGTGAGTCCTGGAGAGATTCCAGCACCGCGACAATATGTCCAAAAGAACGGTTCGCAAACCGAGCACTGGCCACAGCCTCCTTCTGTGTAGGAAGGGGCCCGGGACCACACAAATCGACGAGTGTCAGACGTCCCACTGTGGACGTCTGTCGCACTCTGTGAAGAATCACACACTGAATCTGAATCCATATGTGACAACGAAGATCACGCGGCTTTCGTTTTCTTAACCTTTCCACGGTGGAAAGAATATCGGCGCCAGTCGTCTCGACAAATGTTACACCTATAGGAACAGTGAAACCGTAGGCATCGCGTCGAATCTCAGTCACGGTGGAGCCCGTCTCACAGTCAATCGCCTCACAGGCACCAATCGCCAAAGCACCCACCTTGTATGTCAAAGCGTACTTGTCCACGGGGAATCGTTGAGAGTGATTACAAAGGGTGTTTATGGCTAATGGAACAAATGTATCAAAAATGACTGTCTTGCCAGTGTAAATCGCACCTAGAGTAACGTAGGCCACATGGAACCCCATAGTGACGGTGAACATGTTGCGACACACCTCGCGGAAAATGACATCCAAAGAGGTTTCTTCATCAATACAGATATCAAATTGGTGCATCTGGGTCGTACTCTCCTCACTAAAAACAATCTGTGAGGAGTCCCTTTCGTTGATGCGTATGCAAGGAACGGAATAGCCTTCCTTGCATCCATGTACCCTAATTGTAATAGTTAAATACCCTTGCAGAGCCTTTAGAGCACACTCTGCTCCTACCAGCTTTATATCTGCATCGTGGAGCTCCGCCACCACGGTCTCCCTGTCAGCCAAAATCCTCTTGGATTTGTGTTGCTCCTTCCTCAACTCCTTGCGAACACGCCTCAGCTCTTCTCCGAGAGCCGAGGCGGAGTCCTCAGCGGAGTGCCGTTGCCCCTCTGCATTCTTATTCTCTGACATGATTATCTCAAGTTTCATATTACTCTCTTCTAATAAACGAGCCAACTCGGCGTTTGACTCTTGCAGTGACCGCGCAAGGTCCATCTTTTTGCTCAAAGAGTGCAAAATACTCGGATCGGTGGTCCTTTTTCGTGCAATGTTTAGCAACATTGACTCAAGCTCTATGCAGCGAGTGCCGCGAGAGTCGATCTCCGCCTTTTGCGTCCGTAGCTCTTCTTCTGCGTTTTTCAGCTGACTTTCAAGTCTCTGAATATCCGTTTTAAGAACTTCTAACAGCTCGCCATCGCCAGTCGCGGTTGTTTTATTAACAAGTTTCTGGTATCGGTCGCGTTGTTCATTTAATTTTCTTCCTAGAGCATCACAACAAAGGTTTAGCTCGGCATTCATCCTGTTCACTTCTTCAAGTCTTTTATTGAGATTCCCAACACTTTGGGCTTGATTTTTTTCAGGACCGCAGCTGTCATCATACCTGGTCCTCTCAGCGACTGTTGTCTCAAACTGCTGCCCAAAATCACGGAAATTCGTAGCCTCTCCTGAAGCTTCTCCCTCCGAAACCGTAGCCTCTGCACACTGTTGTCCCGCTTCCTCCTGTTTCACAAGATTAGAGGGGATGGTTCTCTTCAGTTGGTCCTTCTCCCATGCCATGGTCGTGTGGTGCTCAACATCAAGTTCTCTATCCTTTTCCGTCAATTCCACATTACGTTTTTTTGGCGTTGCACTCTCGGAGCTCCGTGAGCTTGTCGCTCGACAGCCCTTCTTCACCCCTACATGCCTCACCTCTTTCCCATTACAATCCACACCATCAAGATCGGCTTTTGGTAGCACGGGGGAGATTTCTTTCCTCCTAACATTTGTCATTCCCGGAGTAGCCGGCGCCTCATCAGCAATCTTAAAGGAGGCACGGGTGAGAGAACTTACCCGCGTCGCTCCTTCAGCGGCAACGCCTGGCCTTAGCTTCGCCTTCACGCTAGGGACTTTGAGAATATTCGGTAAAAGCAATCGCTTCCCTTCATCACCAGGAACGCTGGATGAGCGTCGCCTCGCTGTTGAGCGTTCACCACGTAGTTCCTCGTAACGCCTCTGCCACGTAGCAGATTCGATTTTCAATTTCTCAAGAGCACGTCGCAATTCATCCTTCTCGATAGCATCCTTGTCACCGTGTCGTTGGTATTTCCCCATAAAAGTCACATAGTGATCGTAAGCCCTAGACCATTCTTCTTGCAACTTCTTGCCCTCCACTATTGGAACCTGTGAAACAAGATGACCCTTTGCGTATTCAACCGCAAAAAGAAATTGTTGATCTCTCAGAACACCTTTACCATCCATTTCGCCATTTTTCCACTCGCCACAATAGGCATTGCCGGTGCCTTTTATTAGAATACCAAGACCCTCTTCCTTGCCTCGAACCCAATTTCCATCATAAACATCCCCATTGCCGTGATAAAATACACCGTGACCATGACGATAGGTCTCCTTCCAGTGGCCTTCGTAGCGGTTTCCATTACTCTGAATAGTAAATACACCATATCCATGAATCTTATCATATTTCCAAAATCCATTGTATTCGTCGCCGTTGGAAAATGTGTAAATTCCACGGTAATGCTTCTTTCCCATGTACCAACTACCCACATAGCGATCACCACTTGCGTAGTAATATGTGCCACAACCATGCTTCATTCCTGCCTTCCAATGTCCATCATACTTGTCTCCAGTGGATGCATAATAATAAGTCCCATACCCTGATAGGCAACCATTACGCATGGAACCAATATATTTTGATCCTCCTGGAAATTGAAGTTCTACTTTATCCTCACCGCCTACCTCCTTGTTGCTATCCATCGAGATTGTCATTTCCTCGGAGGAAGTGAACTTCAATAGATTCATTGTCTCAATATCATTCAACATATCTCCGCTACTCGGTGATAGGATGAGATTTTGTGGTAGATGAAAAAAAGAAACAACAATATGAGACTAGTTGAGAATAATAAAAGAAGATAGAAAAACGTATCGAGAGAGGGCAAAAAAGATACGCCACACAAAAGAAAATATAAACCATCCCCTGATACGTGGAACGCCTCAGCTGAACTTCTGAATTAACATCCTTGATCCCCGGCAACTTAATACTTGACGGTCTCATCGTGACGCCAGGGCCCCGTACAGAAAGACGCTAGTGCGATTCTTCGGGAAGCCAATAGTAAACAGTTCTACAGTGCAGTGCTCAAGACCTCGGAATGCACTGCACCCTGACGTAATCGCTACCATGCTGCCGATGCATAATGAATTACCCAACAATGCCAGCGGTATTCTTGCACGTGTAACGTGCCTAACACGGGAACTGCGACGGGAAACGTATGCAGAAGTTGGTATCCCGCGTATCACGGTCGATTAACTAGCCTGTCGGACGGGAGAACCACACTCAGTCACATCCACACATTGGCTGTGTGGGCCGACGGGGCAGCACACGATCCAAGCCCCCCAGAAAAGGGCGAGGAGCCCAACTGGAGGCCCCTACCCTGGTAACGCCGGCCGCATCCGCGTGGTTCCAGGGTCAATTGTACCGTATTGCCGCGAAGACAGGGGACAGCAATGTTTTCCTCATGGAATTATTGCTGGCGCAGCACTGACAGCATCCACCAGCGCCCGGAACAGCCGTGTATTACTGGGGCACAGTTCTGCACCATGGGATTTGAGGGCACTTGGTACCGCAATGTAGGACATAAAATTTATAAAAAAAAAAAAAAGAAAAAAAGGCGGCCTTGATCAATGATTTCCACACAATTACAACGATATGCTACCCAGCATCGTCCCAAAAGCGGGTATCATACACTTGCAAAAAAATTAGAAGAGAAGTACACGCATCAGTCACATTAAAATAGACACCGACAAGAACACACAAACAGAGACACCAATCTAACATAAAGCGTCCTTTACCTCCTATTCTCTCTTTTTCTTTTCCCTAAGAACATCTGATAAAAATTAATGCATTGTACGTGAAGTACAAACCCTACAAACTATCGATTCTTTTTGGCCCCCACAGCTGCTGTTGAGTATTTCTCCAGAGCGGTATAAAGCCTTGAAAACTTCATAATTGAGGCACATAGCACAGTGGCAAGAGCATGAATATACATGTTACGCTCGAAGCGCCATTTCTTAGCTTCCCAGTCAACTTCAAGGCTCAAATCCGCAAAACGCGGCTTCCCCTGACTGTATTTTTTCCTCCAATCAACAAGCTGCACCACAAAGCTTACGAATGTAACAAGTGTGACAAGCAACAATAGCGAGACCCCATGAAAATTCAAACGCTCCACAAAGCTCACAGCACGAGAAACATAATGCGACAGGCCTGGTATAGGAGCAACAAACATAACAAAAATGACCATGGCAGGCACAATGAGGTACGTAACCTCGACAGCAAAGAGACTAAGCATGATTATAGATGATCTCCTACTGCTGAAATAAGAAAGAGCAAAAAGTAATAAAAGCCTAAAAAAGCGCAAAAAGCCAAAGAAATTAACGACAATAATCAGAAAAAAACAACAAAGAAAACAACAAAAAACAAACAAGAAATCACATCACCACACCCAGAAGAAAACGCCGCGAAGGATGGACAGGCGGCTTCGTGGAACTCGGCGTCAAGTTGGGAGCAGCGGCGATGCTGTACCTGAATGGAACGCCGATCAACATTGCCGGGGGCCGGCGCAGAACGGATACCACGCAGCCGCAGAGCCGAATGCATCGCCCCACACCTTGGTACAAGAAAGCCATTGAGCAGCATGCGGCGGACAGGCAGTGCGCCGTGTATTGTGTCAACCTTCACAGGCTCACGCTCTCTCCTGACTGCGCTCCAGAAACGGGTCCTCTCACGGCATCTGTCCCGATACATCGTTGACTCTGGACACTCCTGCTCCGCCCGCCGCGCCGAGGAGCGCGCACACGGACGCAGCTTGTCGTTGGTCACTGCGGCGTGTCCAGGAACGGAACTTGTGGTGCGAAATCCGAGGCGGCATCCGACCTCGCACAGCTCACAGACAGATGGATCACCGGCATGGTCGCACCGTCCAAACATATTATTTGTGCCCGACAGCTCAGGGAGGAAGCTTGCTGCTGCAGTGGAGCCGGCGACTGGGACCCACGCGCATCGACGCCACCCTCACTCGTGGGGTAGAGGCCGCACCGGCCCGCCTCCGCACCGGGGTTCTGCTCAAATGAGGATGGCTGCTACGGCCACTGAAACCCCCTGGCTCAGCCGGCCACCACAACGTGACGCCAGGGTCTAGTACTCTTTGCGAGAGAGGAAGCTAAGCGCCTGCCGCCCATCCGCCGCACGCGGAGAGGCAGGAGGCGCCGCACAAACGGGTCGGAAGGGCGCCAGATGGAGCCATTTACATGGCTGCCCGCGGAGCGGTATTTCTATCCGCTGCTGAATTCCATCGGCGCTTATCAGCGCTATACATACCGTTTGCGTGCCGTATGTGACGCGCAACGACAAAAGCTACTGCTAAGCGGAGACATTGAGCAGAACCCAGGCCCCATAGCAGTACTCCAGATGAACGTTTCTTGCCTCACGCCGTCAAAACTCGCAACATTAATGGCGCAAGGAGCAGACATAATAGCCATTCAGGAGAGTTGGAAGTCGTCAGAGCAGATCGCCAGCATGCACACTGGAGATTATGTGCTCCATGCACAGTCGCGCATCGGCAAGGGAGGCGGTGTGGCGGTGCTGGTGCGGAAAACTCCCCGCACCAAGCGTATACCTCTCACCATCCCCCAGCATGACACCAGCCTTGAAGTGGTGGTGGTCCAGGTTGCTCTGGACCAGAACCGTGATCTTATTGTAGCGAGTGCCTATACGAGACCACCACCGCAAGTAACGCAACCCTTCAGGCGGTTAGTAAACTGCCTTCCAGCCTCGTCGCCGCTCCTGCTGTGCGGGATTTCAACATGCATCACCCACAGTGGGAGCCATTCTTGGAGACTTCTCCAAGCGAGGTTGCCGCAGAATTTTTAGAACTGTGCACGGATGCGGGACTCACCTTGGTTAACACCCCTGGTGAGATCACGTATGCCCGTGGCACAAGAGAACGATCCTGTATCGATCTGACATGGTCAAAGCATTTGACTGTGTCGAATTGGTCAGCTTCCGTGTCGCCGCTTAGTGATCATTATATGCTGACATTTACGCCGCATCAGGCATTTATGGATACCATACCTTCGGCACCCCCTTCGGCACCTATGTTTTTCTACAGTTGGGGGAAGTGCAAGTGGGATTTATTCATCAAGGGCTTCGACGCACAACTTCCGGCATACGAATATAAAAAGCAGTCCACCGGCATTAAGGCTTTCACGAGAGCGCTTATAACTTCGTATCGACGACATTGCCCCCGCGGCATGCACAAGGACGGTCCCAGGCTTTGGGACGACACTCTCATGGAGGCAGAGCGGATTGCCACGGACAGCAAGGCCCGCTATCTACAGTTACCGACGCCCGACCGTGAGGCAGAAATGCAACGGACAAGGAGTCAATTCTTCCTCCTACTCCAAGCGCGCCCGCGTAACACGTACCTACGCCGCATCAGCAAGTTAAATCCAGGCGAGCCACTCGCATGGAAATACATTTCCGGACGAAAAAAAGCATCACTTCCATCTCCCACATCAATTTTATTAGGAGATGGTCAACACACTTATAAAACAGCAAGGGGAGCAGCGAATGCTCTCAATCGCATCTTTCTTCCATTTCACCCCTCTCACAAGGCAGTTAGGTTTTCCAAAGGCATCAACAGACAGAGTGCATCTTTGAACATTAATGCTTCCTTTCTTTTTGGGCAGCAGAACAACAGCGAGTCTGCTGCCTCATTTACTTCATTTTCTTCTACTTCTTCTAGCTCCGAGCCGCAGAACAACAACGAGTCTGCCGCTACTTCTAGCTTAGTTTCTTCCACCTCTCTTATCTCTTGTATTTCTGAGCCGCAGAACAACAACGAGTCTGCCGCTACATTTACTTCAGGTTCTTCACTCTCATCTAGCTCTGAGCCACAGGATAAAACGAAGCTGCCACCACATCTGGTTTAGTTGCTCATCTTCACTCCCCTCTTGATGCACCTTTTAATCGTACGGAACTGCTTGCTGCGCTACGTAATACGCCGTATGGCAAGGCCCCCGGACCGGATGAAGTCTACAGTGAGGCACTGCGACATATTTCGTCAAAGGGCCTCCGATTCCTTCTTCGTTGCATTAACCACAGCTGGACGACCGGTACGATTCCGGCTGAGTGGAGACGCGCTACCATCGTTCCGCTCTTAAAACCCGGTAAGTCGCCGGAACTGCTTGAGTCATATCGACCCATCAGCCTTACCTCCATTGTGAGTAAGGTTGCTGAGAAAATGGTACTGAAGAGATTGCTTAGGGTGTGGACGCCGCACCCCCACCAGTATGCATATCGTAGTATGCGTACCACGACGATGCAGCTGGCACACCTGATACACGAAGTGGAGCATAATAGAAATCATTATTTCCAAGTGAGCCTTCCCAAGAAGAGCGGTATTGGCAATCAACTCCACTACAGACCCCATCGGACCCTGCTAGTGCTGGTTGATTTCAGCAAGGCCTTTGACTCCATAGATCATCGAGTCCTCAGTCGCTTGCTGGCTAATATTCCGGGGGTGAATTGTAGAGGGTGGCTTAGAAACTTTCTATGTGGTCGCTACGCGAAGACACGAGTTGGCCACAGACACACCGATCGGCGTCCCATGCTGCGAGGAGTTCCTCAGGGGTCCGTGCTGGCACCGTATTTGTTCTCCCTTTACGCACACCCACTTCTCAATCTGCTGAACAGCTTTGCGGGTGTCACAGCAGACATGTATGCGGACGACCTCTCTATTATCGTTAAGGGGCAGTCCCGGGAAGACGCCATTCCCACTGCCAACATGGTTCTTAAAAAACTGTATGCGTGGAGTCGGGAAAATGGCCTGGCCATCAACCCGTCAAAGTGTGAAGCTGCTTGGTTCACACTACCCACGCACGCGGAGTCAGATTATGTTCGTGAAGGAAGGTGGCCCCTGGTAGTGGCTGGATGTCAAATCCCAGTCATGACCATGGGGGCATCGCGAACTACGAAGCTTCTCGGCATGGATCTCGATCAACGACTGACGCTAAATGTGGCGGCCTCCAAGCAATGCGCTGCCACTTCGCAACGGATATCGCAGCTACGCTGCATAGCGCACAAAGAGGCGGGACCATCTCCACATGACCTACGCACGTTCGTCATTGGATACGGTGCTTCCAAATTACGCTATGGCAGCGAGCTCATATGGGCAGTAGCGACGGATTCAGCGAAGAATGAGATGCAGAAGACGTACGCAACTCTGGCACGCATTGTCAGCGGAGTTCCGAGCACTGTTGACCCGGAATCCGCACTACTGGAGGCTAATATGCCGCCGCTCCACGTCCTTTGCCTGCGCGCGCGGCTCTCAATATTTGAGAACACACGCGCATGTCAGATGGACTGGATGCGGAGACCCCCGCCTGAGCCACCACCTCGCGCCGGTTTCCGCATCTCGCCATTATCTCGGGACGAGCTATATGCCTTCGTAGACGCATACACAAAGGACTATGGCATCACCGAGAGCTCACCACGCGAAGAGCGGTTCTTTCGCAGCTCCATTCCTCCCTGGTTTGCGGCCTCCGCTCACCGGGCCACCATCGGTGTGGAACTTCCGATCGACCACTCAATAACGGACGAAGAAGAGCTGATAAGGGAAAGGCGCAGAGTCAGCGAAGAGGCTCTGGCGCTGCACAGCCATCGTTCGTGGATACTTGCGACCGATGGCGGTGTCGACGTTCCCAAGTCAGCAGGGGTTGGAATACTGCTTTCATCCCTCAACTCATCGGGGATAATAGAAAAGGCCAGCATAAACTGCGGTGCACACCCATGCAGCTACAGGACGGAATCCCGTGCACTGCTTCTAGCCCTAGAGAAGCTGATGATCCCTCGTATCCGCCACAGGCGTAAAACCCTGCTTGTGGTTACGGACAGTCAGTGTCTTCTAGCGGCTCTAAACAGGGGCCCGCTCAGTCAGACAGACTGGACGGAGGATCGGCTCTGGCAGCGTCTCCTGACACTGACGTGTGCTGGCTGGTCCGTGCACCTGCAGTTTTGTTACGGACATTGTGGGGCACATGCTAACGAGCTTGCAGATCAGTATGCGACGCAGACTATGGAAAGTGGACAACACACGGAGCAAGGAATTGCACCTTTATGGCATACGGATCTGCTGACATGTTTTACTACCCAGCTCACCAACAAGTGGCGTGGTACCATTCGTCAAGACACTCATCGCCACTTGCTTTGCGGCACAAGACCATCAGATCTCAGCGGTAAGGACCTGATCACTCAGGAAGTTCTTCACCGTCAGGAACTGGTTAACCTCGC